GGACCTTCCCCCCCACTTCAAACCATAACACCCCTCCAAAACGTGAAAATGCAAAAACATACAAAATCTGTGTTGTTGCACAAATGCTCTGTAAACCAAAAGATTGATAATTTTTCATATAGCAAAAAAGAGCAACAGAGATGATGAAGCTCATGAATTTTGTATCACTTGGAAATGAAAATCTGTTAAAATTTTCTAGGATTTGAGAAGAATATTAGCATATCAGGTTAAAATTTGGGAATAAAGTCCACTAATTCTGAGCACTCTCTGCTACTCATCTTCTTCCATTATACAGGGTTTATGGAAGATGCCAAGCCCTTCTTTTGCAAGGATTGTGTGTACATTGTTATGTGCAGGTTATTCCTTTTGAATTCTCTGTTAGGATTCAGGCCTACGACTAAATGTAGACCCAAAATAACCAAGATAAGATACTGCAAGTGTGGGACAAGAGTGGCAGAAATATGTTTAGGAGTAATATTTCAATGTATTGTTAACTCTGGGGGCTCTGCTTCACAGTAAAGAATAGGGGAGGAAAAAAAAAGATATTTGGGAAACAGAAAAGTTGAGTCATTTTAGGGAAAGGGCGGCGCATAGGCCAATGTGTGACTGATTTGCGTGGACAAAGGGAGGGGAAGTAGTTGAAGTCTACTAATTACTAATTAAAGACAAGCTACTGGACTGCATTGGTTGGAGAGGTGGATCAAGGAGGTAATCCATGTATCTTCCAAAATCATCCCTCTGATGAAAGTGCTTTTTAAAAAAAAAAAATCTAGTCTCTTTTGGATGTCTCTAGGTAAGCTCCCCAAAGCTGCAGTGTGCATGATTGCTGGATATGTTCCAAAATCCTGGTGGCAGGGAGGGCAGTGTCTTGGTTTCTCTTATTTTGATAAAGTCTCACACATACTGCAGGGATACTCAGTTTATCCAGCATGGCCTCACTCCAGCTTGTTGCTGCTTACAGGTGTCACATCCAATGGATTCTACTCTGTAGTTTCAAATTTCTGGAAAGCTTTAAGTAACCACCACCCTACCACCTTTAGATACTTTACATAAACCTATCTTAATAAAGTTTCTTCCATTCCTTCCTAATAAACTGTATGTTCCCTTTCCTTGCTGTCTCATATTTATGCCATGTTTCTGTAACTCAACCTGTCTGAAGAGCCAGGCTAAATAAAATGGTAAAATTCTGGACTGGTACTGACCTGTCCAGGTTTAAAAAGTCCAATGTCCTGTCACTGACCACTGATGCCAAATTCACAAAAATAGTTGCATGAGGTCCTTGGGTTGGCCTGTTAGCTTTTGGAGTCAGTGAACTGAGGCCTCTATGAGCAGACTTTCTGTAGGAAGATTGAGAAGAGGCTTTTATCTTTATTCCTAAGCGTTATCTGCTGCTGTTTATGAAAGTGATGACATCTACATGGTCCTGAGAGAAGTAAAATACACTGAAGTAACTCAAATTTTTCCATGGTGTGTGCAGTGGAGACCATACATACCTAGTGTGAGAAAGAGGTCATACTGGCCTCTGGCTCATTCATCTCCCCTTGCAAGCTAATTCAGCTCTCCCTAACCAAATGTAATTAAAACTGTGATGCCACTATGCTATCAGTGTATTTGATTTTACATTGTGCTGTATTTTAATGTAAAACAGTTCCTGAATACTCACCGGCCTTTCATCTGCTAGATATAGTTTCATATGTACTCCTGAGAAAATCTGCTTAAGACCTAAATGTGTAACATTTATAAGTGTTAAAATATGTATAATAATCATTCTTTATTTTTAATGTTATTCATTTTTTTCAGATAAAAATATGGACTCATGAGGAGGTTGATGTGTTGTCACTCAAAGTAGAAATGCAAGTGAAGATACCATCACATCTAGCTTTCTCCCTGTTGTCTGACTTCACATTCCGCCAACAATGGGACAAACATTTTTTGTAAGACCTTACCTGTTCTTTAAGACTGTTGAATCCACTGACAACTAACCTTTTCTGATACAAATTTTTTTGAGATGTTGACACTTTTCTACCTAATTAAGAAGAAATTGCTGTAACAAGTTGACATTAAAGATTCATTAGTCAAAGTATGGATTGGGTTTTTTATCTTAAAAATAAAATTTAGTTTCTCCTAAGCGTGATTTAAAAATACGGTTGCCCTGGACTGTCAAAAGAGAGAGAGCTAGGGCAGAGGTTACCCTTTTTTAAAATTAATGGAATTCCATGCCTAGACAAATTTTTGTTGAAAGGGTTAATTTGAGTAGGTTGCCTGTAACTTGGGGTCGATATGTTGTGCATACTCCTCGTAAGCAGTGAGGTAAAGCTGTGGACTCCATAGTTGCTGTTTGGGACACTGATGCTCAGCTTCATCACACAGTCAGAGTGAGAAATCAAGAAACGGGGAACTTCAAAATGCACATTTTAGGAAAAATAATATAAAGTGTATCCGAATTTGAGTGACTTTCAGAAGTCACTGTAAAAGTGTTTAAATTGCTGTAAAAGGTGGGTTTTTTTACTTACCTTGTATGGTGTAGAATAATGGCTAGAGACAATATGATATGATATTAATTTGTTTCGTTGAATATTCTCTTAAAGCAGAGTTAGTCATTCTATTCCGAAAGATTTTTATCAGAAAGTGAAAGTGGAAGCTTAGGGATATTAAAAAATTTACAATCTCTGTTTAATTTATGGCTTCTAACAAATGAAATCTTAAGAGATATTACGTTGATTTTCCGTATCTACAGCCAAAATCTCAGATTTCTTGTGACTACTATGAAGCCTGATTGACTGGTCAAAATGGAATACCACCTTAGCAGTGCTTAGTTTTTGAGGCAGTAGAAGCTGAAATTAAATAAATCAATTACTACTAGTGTAAAGGAAAATTCGCACTTTTTTTTTGGTACTGAAAACTCAGAAATAGTGATCAGTACTTTCAAGACAGTGAAAGAATGCGTCCTACCCAGGTGGCCCCGTCTGAAAAGGGTGGAACACAACCTTGAATAAAATTTTTCAAATGTTTCCTGACTGCCTTTCCTGTGGTGTGTCAGATGGCCAGTGTTTGGTCACTCAGCAAGTTATTATGGCATGCAAGCTAATGTCATTCCAAACTGGAATCGACAGTACATAAAAGATATGCTTCTAAGACATTGGTCTTGTCTAAAAGACAAGCAGACCTTGCAGCACTTTTTAACAATTCTGCGGTACAGAAAGTTGATGTCAGATGAGGTGTTGCAGAAAACCTCAATTTTTCACTCTGTGTTCCTCTCGATTCCTTGCCGCCTAAACATGAAAACCATAGGCTTAATGTTAGGATGGAATGTATGTTTGTACTTTCTTCTTCATAAGACATGCTATCGTGTACATCAGGGCCTGCATGTCTGTGTTAAATGTATTTTCAGAACTTGTGAGGTCCTACAGGCTGTGAATGAAGATGAGAAAATTTATTATGTTACGTCTCCACCCACGACTGGCCATAAACCCAGAGACTTTGTGATTCTTGTGTCTCAAAGGCAACCCTGTAAGCCAAGGTGAGGATGCAGTTTCAAGTTTAACTGTGAGCACTGTGGAGCCACAGTTTTGATTACTGTTGACCTTTATCTGGGCCTGTCATTGGGTGACAAAGATGATATTTTATTTTCTAAGAAAATAGATTAGTAGTGGATTTGAAATACAATATGTTGATGTCTGAGTTTGCACAACCAGATTTGCTTTGCAGAGGTGAAGGTGCCATGAAGTAAATTCCGAGAATCACAGATTTGTAGCATAGTCGAGTATTGCTTCTTTGATAGTGACTCTTCAGGAGTGGTCCAGCATGAGGGAAAATAGGCTAGAATTCTGAACAGGCACTTTGGAAAGAACCACATTCCAGAGGGCCTGTTGATGTGCTGAACCACATAAGTGGGAGTTTGTTTGTTTGTTTGTTTTAAGTGACTTTGTAATCCCATTTAATGTAATTGTGGAGATTTTCTTGTTCAAGGAAGTGTTTGGCCTTTCTTGAAACCTCAGTGCGACATATATTGTATCTGTAAATTTTGCTGCTGAATTTGGTTTAAAAAGTCCCACAATCAGTTTAACATGCATTGATTCATTTTTTCATTAGATTTCCTTTTGTTCTTGCATAATGTAACATGGATAAATGGGACCATTCAGTGTATCTTATCATTCTTTGTTGTCAATTTCTTTTCTTATTTTCAGTAATTCTTCATGTTAACAGAACAATCCTTCTAAAGGCAGTGTTCTGTACTGTGCTTGCTATTTTTCTCCCCACATCTGGGAACTGAATCATGTCTAACTTTGCTGGGGACGCACTCTAAGGACGCGTTTAAGAAGGGTTGCTCCTGGGCCCTCTTTCTTTAAACATGAGTCATAGAGAGCAGGATAAATTAAAGAAAAGAGGGTGTTGTATGTGGGTGATTGTTCTGTGGCTTTCCACAGAAGTCTCTTGACTGGAGTCTGTGATAAAGCCTTAACGAGACTCAAGAGAGCTGAATCTTTTAACGTGTGTCTTTAAACATACAGAAGTTTGTTTGCCTTCATATGAAAATGACATCTTTGGTGTAGCTGTGCATACTTTATAGTGATTTAGATGTATCTTGTTGAGAAATGTTTTGATTCTTCCCCTTGCCCTGCAGTGAACCCTACACAGTAGCTGTAAAGTCAGTTACCCTCACGTCTATGCCACCTTCCCCAGAATACTGTAGAAGTGAAATCCTTTGTGCTGGATTCCAGATCTACAGTGACAGCAACAGCTCCTGCACAGTGAGTAGCTCTGCAGACCTCAGCTGTGTCTCCTTTCCTGTGGTATTACATGTGCATGTAATCTCATTCGAGTCTAGAACAGTAGCAGCAATACAACAGTGAGTCAGTTTCCCCAGAGATCAGTGTGGTTATTGAGACATTCTTTATTCCAGAAAGTGGAATCTGGCTAACCCAACTTTGGCCAATCTGAATGTTAGGGAAGAAATCTAAACTAAGCACTGGAGATGGCCGGGCACCTCCAGAGAGTCATTCATTCAGTCCTAAAAGAGGCCTCCAGAAGATGTGCATTAAACCGGTCTCTGGTGGTGTCCATCTCTTCACGGACTACAGAGGAAGTGCAAGGAATTAGTTCAGATTAAATGTTTAACTGTAACTTTCATATGTCAGAAATTAGGCAATCTGAATCCCATCTCTGGATCAATGACAATGTTCCTCTTTTGTTCTTTTCCATGGGAGGGTTATAACTTTTTCATTTAAGAAAATATATTTCTAAAAACATTCAGCTACTCTTAGTGTCTCGAATACTTTTTTCAGGCAACAGCTTTGTCCATAAAGCACATATATTTAACAAGGTACACATCATGTTTCTTACTGCACTGCTGTGTACGTTCACCTACGTGCTGGGGGACCGGGGATTAGTGAGGATGCTGAGATCACTAAAGTACTGTAAAAAAAGGCATGCTCTTTTCTTAATTATTGCTTTCAGTGTCAGAAGCACTACGTATTTCTATTCACATCCATAAAGACTTTGATAGTCATCTAGGCTCTGCAAAAAATGGCCCATAGGCTTTTTCGTTTCATTTATTTTTGTTTAAACAGGTGTGTTACTTCAATCAAGTGACATCAGGTGTTATGCCATACTTAGCTGCAAATCTTACTGGCTCATCAAAATCCATTGAAGACACTGCTTTGGAATGTATAAAGTTCTTGGAGCTGAAAGGCAGCAAGTACTAAAGTTAAACACGGATTTCTGAAGACACGTCTAAAGATTATCAAGTAGTACTGATTTAAATTCCTCCATCTTTGTTGATCATTTTTCTACAGGTTAGTTACTTCGGATCATGTAGCCAATATTGGGCTTGAGCCCGAGAATATCTCGTACAAGCACTTTCTATCAAATTAAGATTAGGCCTTGCGCTTTAAATTCAGTTTTTAATTTTAGAAAGATTAAAGGATAGATTCCGCTCTTGATTGCATTAATGAATTTCATATAAACGGAGGCAGAACTTGGCCCAGTAGAACTGTAGCTCATGAGACTATTTTACTATTTTCCTGTTGTATTGAATGCAATGGCATCCAGCCAGTTCTAAATCAGTAAATATGACCCTGTCTAATTTGCAGAGAAGTGGTGCCACTAAGTAGCTTGTCCAGAGCACTGACCTGGCTGTGCAGGTTCTTGCACACCCATTATATATAGATTACACCCTGTGTAAGCTGGTGTTCTCTAATGTTTGTACTTTATCTGTTACTACTTTAGTTTGTGACTTCCAATAAATTATTGTTTCTGAGGTTACAAATCCATGGTACATTTTATTACGGTATCTCTGGAATGGCTTCAGACATCATTCCAGAAAGATTGCTTTGTAGTGATGATGGGGGCTGTTGGCCTCTCACAGTTAAGTGCTGTGGCCTCCAGCTGGCAAGTTCTCTGCAAGACTGTTCTGCTAGCGCTGAATAAATGCAGAACACTGACGAAAAGGGAGAATGGTTTCAGAGGTTTTATTGTTCTGTGTTTTCTGCTCTTATTTTTGCTCAAAAGACCCTTGTTCAAAAAAAATGAGTATGATCAGCAGCAGTTAGATGGTAACGTGAATGCGGGGTTAAGAGAATCCAAGCATGTGAATTGTAGCAGTGCACTTCTATCTTACTGCAGTCTCATACTTTGTAGAGCAAGAGCTCTAGGGCTCTGTTCCAGTTCTCGCCTAGGTAAATACATCTTCAGTTTGACCTATAACCAAATCAAAGCTTTCATCAGTGATTTATAAGTTACAGCATGCCTTCACATTTGCGTACGGCACGTCTATGAAAGCCATAGCAGAAAAGACACCGAGTCCTGGTAGCCCTCTGGATGTACTAGCATTGAGTCACCTGGCCTCACAGCAATACTAGTTTAGCTTGGGTACAGCTACGCATTGAACCAGAGACATTAATGAAATCAGCCACTGTCTTCTACCTCTGGTGAAGGCTGGCCACTGTACGCCATACAACACAGGGATCCCTTTGCACTAGTAATAAAAAACGTAAAGCAGGTCCTGCTCTTTGGCTCTGGAGGAGAGACTACAGATCTAGATGCTGATTTTGGATTGTTTTTATCATGTGGGTAGATGCTGATTTTGGATTGTTTTTATCATGTATTTAAGGCGCAATACCTCATTGTAGCGAGTGAGGACGGCAGCCTCAGCACAGCCCCCTCCAGAGCATGAAAACCACGGAGGCCCTGCTTGCCTCCTCCTGGCTCAGCTGGCAGTGGAAGGGTCCAGGCCCCCTCCGTGGATCAGGAGCTCAGCTCTCCCAGTCCTGCCCACGCTCGCTCTGTGCAGACCATGGCAGACAAGCTCTGAGGGGGTCGGTCAGTCTCTGTGGTTCCAATTTTTAGTGAACAGAGACACCTAATGTTCAGCTCTGAATACACACATGACACATCAGGGAGAAAGACCCCAAATGCTGTCTGCATCAGCATTTCTTATCAGCTGCTTAAGTGGCTTCTTATGCAGCAGTTTATAACTTGCCTTTAGAGACATTTACACTCTGAACTCAGCTGTGGGGCTACCAAAAGAGCTATATATGGAGAACAGTGTAAGGCATTTTTTAAGTATTGGTATTCTGTCCAGATCATGCCTACATGAAAGGTTCTGCCCTCTGCCGCCAACACTGAGGTCTTGGCCATCATAGTGCAACGCACTGCAAAGCTGGGCCATGTTCTACATGCAGCCACACATCTTTGGGGGTGTAGGGGGAGAGTGTCTTTTTGACGTAGACCAAGGATTGTATTTTACCAACCTCTATGCAACTTCTAAGACAAGGAGATTCAGGTTTCTGGTGCACAAACTCTGCTTAAACTTAATTATTTGCCTAACTTTTTTAATTTATTTATGGGTATGATGCATTTTTACATGCAGCACCTTTTACAACTGCTTTTCAAATACCTTTCTTCCAACTACACATACCTTTGTGAAATCATCTATGAGATTAGTGGGTGTATCTAAGAAGTAGTTTTGTCCAACAGTTACTGAAGATTGCTAACCTGTGCAGCTGTTTTAGAGAGAGTAGTGCAAGTGTTTCAGTACCTTTTTCCTCAGCAGTCACTGAAGCAGGGGACAAGAGGGAGGTGTACAGGCATCCAGCCCCATGCAAACAGGTATGATTGCCTGAAAAGAGCTGCTGCCTTTACACTGAAATTGTCACAGAGACTGTACCCTTTGATTTTCAAAGTCTGAAGAAGTCCATTATTTCTTCTCAAGGGACAATAGAGCAGTAGCCAGGTGTAAGAGCCCAACTTTAGAGTGCAAGATGGATCAAAGCAACAGGTGTGAAACTCAAGTTTATCTTAGCCAGTGATGGCTGTTAGGCTCACTGACCTGCAGAGGAGCACCACAGGGACTGCTTCACTGCGCTGAAGAGAAGGCGGGCAAGCTGGATACTAGCGTGCTCTGCTTGCGCTCCACCATTTTGAGCACAAACATTAATCCACTGCTTCTTGTGGGCTTTCTTTCGCCACACCTGCCCTTTCAGTTCTCCTGCTTTTAGCAGCCCCTTTCGTCATGCAGAAGTAACAGTGATGAGCTGTGGGAACAGCAAACTTTCTTTTCCTATGTGTTGTACGCTATTTAATGTTAAAGGGACAAATTGTAGTAAAATTGTAGTAAGATTGTAGTTAAAGGGCCTCAGATTGTAGTAGCACAACTGGGTGACCAGCTCTTACTGAGAACCACCGACCTGAAGCGGCCATTTCCTCGAGAGGAGAGGCTGCGCTCTGAAGCCACAACTCACACACCACACTGTACACCAAGCCCTGACCTGGGAAGTACTGGTACCTCTAGGAAAGTCAAGGTGCACAGCTTCAAGTTCATGTTCAAGAACATGTTACAATATCAGGAGTTTTTTTTAAAGACAGGAAATGATCTAAAAAGATGCTTTTTAAACAATATTTTTATTCATATAATAGAAATGCTTTTTAAGCTGGAAAGTCTGTTGCACAATGTCCACATTAAAGTGATACTGCTTTGAGCTTTAATCCAATAGTTAATTAAAACTCTGTAATTAATCCTTGATTTCATCCACATCCCTCCCTTCCTCTTCCCCATTTAAATGTGTGCTCTGATTATTATAAACTGAATATACATGCCCTATCTTAGTCAACTTAATGTGCCTTTTGTATCCTGAGCAGAATCAGGAAACCTCAAATAAGAGCTATAACTATTGTATTCTTTAGCAGCATTTTATTAAAAATAACTAACATGTACAAATATAAAACATAGCCACACAGTTAAATTCCTGTATTTGTTTTTGCTGTAAGAAAAGTAAGTTCCAAACCTATGGTTTCAGTGGCTGGTCCTAAGCACCTCAAACCCAGTGCTGAGCTCAAGTTTGCTATGATGTGGTGTTCCTTCTTTGTTCTCACCAAGGTCGTGTATGGACCATTAGGACACTTTTATTGAAAAGGTAAAACTAATTCTTTAGACGCAATAGCTTTATCACTGTGGAGCTTTCCCTCAAAGACTGCTGCTTATCACTGTATAATGCCACTTGAAGTTTTCAGAAGGTTTTTGGCACACTGAAGTACCATATTTGTCCGATGGCAACCACGGATGTAGTAGAGGACTGAGAAGCCCGATGTCGCAGGTGCCTGCCCGCACAGCACAGCGGGGCGCGGTGCAGAGACCTGCACAGCACCTGCCCAAGCTGCCCAGCACTGTGTCAAGATGCCCGTTCAGAACAAAGCACCACACGGCAGATGACCTCGAGGTGCACTTCTCCAGTAACATTGTGCTTTCTTGTCCACCTTAGCCGAGATGATCAGGCGCAAGTGAAAGCCTACCACTGCTGGCTGCGTAGGCTGAATTAGTACAGGATTTGGAGAGCTATTGCAGGAAACTCTGGTTTGAGTTGGTTTTCTAATTTTTTGAATTATGTATCAGTTTTTCTAAGGCTGCAGTTTTTCAGGCTGCAGACTCCATTTAAAAATAAATAAATCTGCCATCAAGCAGGTATGTCTAATACAAAGCAAAGTTTACTCCCAACCCACCAAGAGACAGAAGATTTTTGAGCACTTTCCTTGAAAAAAGTAAGGAAACCAAGCTTTCACTTGCTCTCTAACTCTTTTCAGGTATATTTCACCACAGGTGTCAGAGGAAGGGCATCATTCTGTTTCTATTAGTGAACACATACTCAAACAATCCAACATGCATAAACAATTGGGTTGACGCATGTACGTACTTAACTGAGTAGTAGGAATTTCACCCCAAGCTCTGTGGGCTGTAAGGTTTACTGATCACTTCACTACCAGACTGCTCAAGCTTGCACGTAGAGAGCAAGAAATCATTCCTTCTAAAAGGAGAAGGCAAAGCCAAACATAAGCCTTCAGAAAATACCCATAGTGCCTTTCAGAGAAATGCAGAAGTACTCTTAGGAAGATCAGCATGATTGTGTTCATCTCTGACATGAAAAAGCAGAACTCAAGGTAACAATGCTGACCACCAAAATCTAGTGGTCACAGACCCCCATGATAAAATACACATACCGTGTTTGGTTACTGCGACCAGATCCCTGTTAAGAGAAGCCAATTTCCCTCTTCAGAGAGCTGGCAGTGAGAATGAATGTAAATCAGAGGGAAGGCTGTATTACAGCGGAGATATACAAAAATAAATACCCACTTGTTGCATTTCTGTTGGTCTCAGCTTTTCAGTAAGCTAGGTGAGGTAAACTGGAAGGTAAACTGGAAAAATGAGGGAGAC